CTGCTGAATTTAAAAATCAATTTTAAAATTCATTTAAAATTTTAAATGTTGATTAAAAAAAAATAGGGTGATTTTTTTCTTTTCTTTAATTTTTCCAAGGCACAATACAGCACATACAAGGGAAAAAAAAAAAACAATCGAGACACTGTTGGATCCTTCCTATAGGAGCCCAAACTATTTGCATGGCAGCAAACGGCTGATTTTTAACTCGTGAGAGGCAGATCGGCGGAACGGGTAGGATTTCCTCGCCTTCCCACTGCTGTCGTGTTTCATTTGTGTCTTTTGGAAAACCAGAACCAAGCCCCTGCCAGCAACCCCCGGCGGCACCTCGGGGAAATCCCTTCCCCACGCAGAGCTGTCGGAGGTGTTTTCCAGCCCGTTCCTTATCGAACTGTATTTATGTGGGAATAAATCCATCGGGTACAATAGATTTATATTAGATTTGGTTTGAAAAATCGGTTGGTGCAGGTGACGGCGGGTGCGGAGGGGACGCGCCGGGTATCGGCACCTCCCGGTTCCCATCCCCGTGACGCAGAAACGCCGGGGGGACAAGAGCCAAGAGGGGCTCGGGTTCCCCAAACTCAATTAAAACACAAACTCATGGAGCTAACGGGGGGATTTGACCCACTTGAGTCACCCCTGGAATCCCAGTGCCTCTCTGGGACTCGACCGCAACTACAAAAACGGGATTTTCTACAAATTTAAAGGCTTGTGGGGGGACGACCTATAACACGACCACGTGAGGCTCCGTTCCCTGCCAAAAAAATCACGTTATAAAAATAAAATCTATAATCTACCGAAGCAAAGGCACAGCCTCCCTAACTGGATATATTAATATAAAGCAATAAATATTTTTTTTTAGCTGTGAAAAAATATATCGGCTTAAATTAGATCTTAATAATCTGGGGAAACTTGGGAGACAAGCTAGAACAAAAAACTGGGGAGGCAGCTGAAAACAGACTGATGCAAAATAAATCATCGTTGATTTCTGGGCTGTTTAAATATTTTTTTTTCCTTTCCAAACTTGAAAAGCGGCAGCACCCCAACCCGATGGAGAATCTGGGTAGAGATGAATTCCTTGTTTCCATCCCCTTCGTACAGGATAAAGGTCGAGTCCCGGGTCCATACTATCTTCCCAAACTCCCAATTTCTGGCTCCATCACTCTTAAAAATCACTGGCACACCACCCTAAGGCTGCTGCAGAGATTTAGCTTAGAAATGAGCCTGGATTTTTAACTTTTTTTTTTTGCTTGGTTTTTTTTTTAAAGATCTTTTAAGGTAAGAGAGCGTGTGATCCCTGCCGAAGAAATCCCGCTCCAGCACACGTGATGCTGGGCATGAGCCGTTCCCCCACCAAGCCTCAATTACACAACAACATTTCCCCCCCCTGCACTGTAATTTCCAAATTAACAACCCCCCCAGCAATCCCAGGCCCACCCTCCACATCGAGCGGCAGCAAATTATCCCCCAAGCCACCCCGAGATGGGGTTTGGGGTTTATTTTCCCGGCGCGCAGACCTTTTATCCCGACACATGTTGTTGAGGGGGGGCGAATAAAAAAAAACCACAATATGATGGGAGGAAGGCAGCTACGCAACACGCTCCCGGGTTTGGATTTCTGTCGGAAAAAAAGCATCTCCCCCCTCCAG